GGGGAGGGGCGGGGGCCATGGGGCAGGCCGGGAGGAAGGGTGGGAGGGAAGCAGAGCTGGGGGAAGGATCGGGGGCTGAAGGGACACCTGGCAACCCTACTCAGCACTGCCCAGAGCGTGCCGCACGGTGCTCCAGCGGCGATTTAAAGGGCCGGGGGTCTGCCCACTGTTGCAGGCTCTGAGGCAGTTGCCTCCTTACCGCCCGTGTCGGCGAGCCAGTATGGGATTGTTGTAGTTCAGAGCACTGCACTGGCAAGCAGCAGGCTGTAAACTCCTGCCTGTCACCCCTAGGGCCTCAGCAGAGCGCTTACACGAGAGTTTCACAAGAGACCGGGGCAGTGTCTCCACGCCCAGAGCCGTGCCTTACCCCGTTCTCCTTGAAGGCGCATTGCTCCACTACGGGGTAGGCCGACGCTAAGTATGGGATTGTTGTAGTTCAGAGCACTGCACTGGCAAGCAGCAGGCTGTAAACTCCTGCCTGTCACCCCTAGGGCCTCAGCAGAGCGCTTACACGAGAGTTTCACAAGAGACCGGGGCAGTGTCTCCACGCCCAGAGCCGTGCCTTACCCCGTTCTCCTTGAAGGCGCATTGCTCCACTACGGGGTAGGCCGACGCTAGGCACGTGGTCTCCATGATGGTGAAGTTCAGCTGCTGAAGCGGATTAGCTGCCTGGTCCTGGGCCTGTGGGAACACCAGGCAAGGCACAAGAGAACATCCTCAGAGCCAGCACCTCTGCCGGCCGCACGCACCAAACGAAGCCGGGGCTTTTGGGTCCCGACCTTGCTGCCTTTAAAGGAGACCTGTTTGGAGGAAGGTATAACCCTCCTCCGCCCCGCTGGACAGTTACAGCATCCCCTGCTATCGGGGAAATGTCCCACAACTTGGAAAGGATGAATGGGCACAAATCCGATATCCGAAAAGGCAACACCCGAAAACCTGTTGGAGAACACTTCAACCTGCCCGGACCCTCAGGAATGGATCTCCAAGGCACCGTTTTGTGTCAGACCAATTCCACAAGCCAAATACACAGGGAAGGGCTGGAGCTGAACTTCATTCACTAGTTTAATTCTTATGCTGATGGTCTGAACCGGGATAGGGGTGACTCACACACTATCGTCCACCTTTTAATGATTTCACCAACCACCCAACCAATGGAGGTGCCAATGGTTCTGAACAGCCTCTTGTAACTATTTGCACTATCTACTCGCTGTCTCTCTTTTTCTTCCTCCCCTCCATTTTTGCCTTCTCCCCCCCCCCTTTCCCTTATTTCATAGAATCATAGAATAATAGGACTGGAAGGGACCTCGAGAGGTCATCGAGTCCAGCCCCCCGCCCTCAAGGCAGGACCAAGCTCCGTCTACACCATCCCTGACAGATGTCTATCTAACCTGTTCTTAAATATCTCCAGAGAGGGAGATTCCACCACCTCCCTTGGCAATTTATTCCAATATTTGACCACCCTGACAGTTAGGAATTTTTTCCTAATGTCCAATCTAACCCTCCCCTGCTGCACTTTAAGCCCATTACTCCTTGTCCTGTCCTCAGAAACCAAGAGGAACAAATTTTCTCCTTCCTCCTTGTGACACCCTTTTAGATATTTGAAAACCGCTATCATGTCCCCCCTTAATCTTCTTTTTTCCAAACTAAACAAGCCCAGTTCATGAAGCCTGGCTTCATAGGTCATGTTCTCTAGACCTTTATTTAGTCTTGGATCTGGACTTATTACACTCCAGTCATCTGAAGAAGTGGGTTTTGCCCCTGAAAGCTCATGATACCATCTGAATGTTTTTTTCATCTCTAGGCTATGTCTAGACTACGCTTTATTTTCAAAAGAGGAGATGCACTAAACAAGCCCAGTTCATGAAGCCTGGCTTCATAGGTCATGTTCTCTAGACCTTTATTTAGTCTTGGATCTGGACTTATTACACTCCAGTCATCTGAAGAAGTGGGTTTTGCCCCTGAAAGCTCATGATACCATCTGAATGTTTTTTTCATCTCTAGGCTATGTCTAGACTACGCTTTATTTTCAAAAGAGGAGATGCGAATTCTGCGGGAATCTGCATATCTTCTTCTCGGAAGACGCTATGCAAATTCCCACGGAATTTGCATACCCTCTTTCGAAAATAAAGCGTAGTTTAAACGTACCTTAAGATGCTACTGGAGTATTGGTTGTTTTTTTTAAGTTTTTCCTGCTACAGACTAACTTGGCTCCCCCTCTGAAGCGCCGTAGCTTGGCTCACACGGTAAACGAGGATGGTTTTTTACCCTTGATACAGATTCCCCCCAGTGTATGGAACTATCTCAGCATCTAATCTCTACTCTGAATGTGGTTTGGTAAATGCATTTTTAAGCAACTCAGCGCTGCACCATTCAGCCGGCGTTGAGTATTTCCATAACGCTCTAGCAGGGGCAGGGAACCCTTTTTGGGCTGGGGGTGGGGAGGTCTGCTGACCCACAGAAAAATCAGGTGGCACAAAAGTGAGAAGCAAAAAACCCACAAAAAACCCACACCCCTCGCTGACGTGGCCCCTGGCTGAGAAACAGAAAACTCCGCCCCCCACCTTCCCCTTGCACAGCAGAACCTGGGGGGCAGGAGGGGAGCAGGCTAGTAGATTTTGGTGGGGGAGATGTCTCCAGGCAGTATTTAACTGTACCAGCCGGGGGAGGGGACGTGGGGCTGGAGCACAGGCATCCCAATGTGACGGGGGGGCTTGAGCCTCGGGAGCCGGATCCAGGTAAGCTGGGGGCTGCATCCCTCTCCTAGGTCTTAGGTTCCCCACCTTCAACAGCGTCTACAATGCCAGGCTAACCCTGTTCCACCAGCACCCCGCCACCACCGCCGGCCAGGGTTCACCCTTCCAACCTTCATTGTGATTTTCGCGCCAGTCCTGGCAAGCAGGAAAGCAATCCCTGCTTTATTAATTCCTAACGAGCTGGGGTCCAGCCCTGCCTCTGCCACCGGCCTGCTGTCAGACTTTGGGAGAGCCCTTACGTCGCGCCGTGCCTCAGTTTCCCCATCTGTAAAATGGGGCCGATGCAACTGGCCTCCTTTGAGAGCGACTGATGCAAAGCGCGAGACACGCGCCAGAGAGTAGATCCGGACAAGTGGCCCTTAGGTGGCTTCTGCCTCATCCAGCCCCCCTGGACTCCATGGAGCAGGCTCTGAGCGATCTGGGTGTGGGGTGATGGGGGCCCAAGAAGGGAGCCGCCAGTACTCACCACTTGGGGCGGAGGGGCTGCGAACAGGAGGCGGAAGGCATAGGTCACCGTGGGCCCTTGGTTGTAGAAATCGATAGCCTGGGTGATGGCTTGCTCGTGGGGTTGCGGGGTCTCCAGGGAGGTTTTCTGGGGGGTCTGCTGGGGGCTCTGCTGAGGGGTCTGCAGGGGGACCGCAGATGCCACGGCGACCAGCAGCAGCAGGCATGCCCAGTAGCTCGCCATCTTCTGTCCTCGTTGCTCCAAGGTGACGTGGGAAGGCAGTCCCGGGTGCTTTATACATGCTGCCTTTGTGCAAGGGGGGGCCACGGGCTCACCCTC